TGGCAATAACTGAGTGGTTATTTGCAAAGGCATTACAAACATACATATCCAAGCGTAGTAAGGGGTCTATGGTAGAACGACCCTTACAAAAGCCATATTGACTAGTGGAGAGACTGTGTATCTCTAAATACCACATTTAACGTCGATTTACCAGACATTCCATCACTTTGCAAACTGCACTGGTAAGAGCAATGGGATGATAGTGGAAGGCATCATGTCCCGTATTACCCGGTTTGGGGAAAGGGAGAACAATGGCAGATTTCCACAGCTGGGGGAGAACTCCTTGTGACCAAATAAGATTGAAGAGGTGTAAGAGGACTACAAGGGCTGATTGATGTAAATGTTGTAACATCCAAATATGAATGTCATCAGGCCCAGTTGCCGATGATCGGCAGGCTGAGAGTGTCACCTCCAGTTCCTGAAGTGTAAAAGGCACATATGGTTCTTCAATGAGAGAAGAAAAGTCCAAGGGTGCTAACTCTCTGGCAGACTTTGAGGAAAGAAACAAGGGGCATAGATAGAGCCCCCTGAGAAATATGGACCAGATGATTGCCAATTTCAATGGCAACATCAAGAGGGTTTGCTATATCAACACCAGCAATCTGCAGAACAGGAGCCGGGACAGGAGAGTATTTACCACTCAGTTTCCGTACTTTTTTCCAGACTGCACTCTTAAAGGAAGCTGAGGTGATGGTGGAAACTTAATCTCACCAGCAAGTGCATTTAGCGTCACGGATGACATGGTGAACAACCGCTCGCTTCTGCTTAAAATCAAGAAGTCTCTTTGTGGTTCTATTGTACCAGTACCTGCCCCAAGCAGCGCACTTAAAACGTACTGCCCGAGCACAAGCAGGAGACCACCATGGCCCACACTTCTGAGAATGCCTGCCTGAGGTTTGGGGTATAGAATGAGAAGCTGCAGTTAAAAACGAGGACGAAAAGAGGTGTAAAAGCTCATCAATGGAGGACGAAGAAGGAACCTCACTAAAAACAGTTAGCTGCGAGTAAAGGTCCCAGTTTGCTCGATCAAATTGCCAGCATGGGCTATGAAGAGATGGTGAATATGAAGGAGAAGTAAGAATGATTGGAAAGTGATTGCTGTCATGTAAGTCCAGTAGAACAGATCAGGCGAAGTCTAGTGCAGTGGAGGAAGAGCAGACCGAGAGATCAGTGCAAGAGAAAGTATGAGTACGAGGATCAAAATGAGTGGGAGTACCCATATTTAAAACATGGAGGGGGTGAGAAGCAAGAAAAGCATTGTAAGCAAACACCAACGGGAGAAAACTGGGAAAGCAACATCTGAAGCTCATTCCGATTACCCCTGAGGCCGCAGATATTCCACTGTAAATAGGCCATGATTGGCAACAAGGAAAATACCAGGAATCCACAGGTAAGGGCACCTACGGACTAGAGGGGTTAGAAAAGTCTATGTGCGGTGGTATCGGAAAATGTTCAAGCAGCAAAGGAACGGAGCGTTGCAAAGAATGGAGTTGTGGAGATGGAGGAGAGGGAAGAGAACCAACAGGAGGTGGATCAGTGTCCATTGAAGGTTTAGTCTCTGCAATATATTCTGAAATAGCTTCAAGTGTTTCTGAATTCAAAGACGTTGTATGGGAGACAATATTGGAGATAGCAGGAGGAGGGTGAGTAAAGATTGGGACAGTAATGGACTGGACTAAAGTAGGGGGGGGGGCGGCGAAAGCGTGTTGGGAACTGGAGAAGAAGTGTGGGAGGGGACAGAAGAGGCAGGAACCTGGGAGGCGGCAGAAGAGGGGGAAACTTGGGAGAGGACAGGGAAGGAAGGCACAGAACAAGGAGGAGGGTAAACCTCCACAACTGTAATAGAGCCAGTGAGAGGGGAAGAACCAGGTACAGAGACTGGAAAGGTAAAATGTGGAGGTGGAAGAAGGGAAGGAGGGGACAAAGAAGATTTGAGCAAAGGGGATTTTTTGGACTTCTGAGAAGTAGAGGGGTGATTGGTAGGTGTCATACGAGGGCTTGTCAATACTGGGGCTTGTGAGGGAGAACTCGAAGATGTCAGAACAGACTGAGGTGTTGAAGTAGGGATGTCTGAGCCCAGGACAGCAAAAGAATTAGAGGAGTGACTATGGGAGGGGTAACCACAGAGGAGGCTGCAGAAGATGGGACCCCAGAAGTGGGGGGATGTTTTGAAACACGAGATTAAGAAAATGAGGTGGAAATGAGAAACTGCCATAACATAAGGGAAACCTTCTGCCTCTTTGAGGCAACGGATTTCACGCTCATTTAAGTAGACCTGGCAACGGCAAGAGTACGAAAGATGAACCTCATGACAATTAAGGCAAGAGGGAGGTCAACTGCAAGACGTATTAGAATGGTCATCGACACCACAGACTGGACATTCGGCTATAGATCTGCAATACTTCGCTGGGTGACCAAATCGCCAGCAATTTCTACACTGTTGCAGTGTAGGGATCACCTTTCAAACTTGTAACCGATGTCCTGCTACATAAACAGAGGATGGGAGTTCACGGCTGTCAAAAGTTAATTGAGCCACATTGCAAGGGTATCGTCTCCGCCCGTGGGCAGGAAGGACATAATCCTTGAGGATTGGGAGATCTTGAAGTTCCAACTGTTCAAGAATGTCATTGCCACATGTCTGAAAATTCTGTTTGGCTATGGTATGGGAGCAGAATGACAAACCACTACAAGAATTGAGGGAATGATGTTTTTCGATAGTGACAGGAATAGTATCGATATGTGAAAGAAGAGAAAGATCATGAGCTTGGGTAGCATTCTGGACAGTGATGATGCACATACCACTCTTCAGAGCATGAAAGGAAATATCTCTACCAACATGGCAGAGGAGCGCCTTGCCAATACTATGGTTGGAAAGATAGGCAATAGAGGAAGTCGGTCATAAAGTAAAGA